TTTTTTTTTTTTTTTTTGATATTGTGAATGATTTTACGAAAGACTCTGACAGTCGGTTGTACTCATATTTATGGTACTATTATATTTATAATTTTCTAATAATTCATTATGAAGTTTCCCAAAATTTGTCATCAGTAGCTTTCTGCTACCAATTACCAGCCCTTCTGATAAACAACAACAATACTTAGTACACTTTTAGGATCTCACCGCCTCGACTACACCGTTTTACCAGGACATTTAATTCTAGTCTTGTTTCTCACGTTATGCTTGGAAACAGTCACTTTGTGTTGATCAATTCTATGGCTATGGATCGAGATGGTTGTCGGTTATGTCAAGAGGCAGAAGCCCAACTAAAACATCTTAAAATTCGTTTTGAATGTGCAAAAAATAAATCTTCTAATTGTAATGAAGGCTTCAGTATTCCATACTCCAGACCTATCCTGATGCAGCATTTTCCACTTTTCAGGTTTTTGTTGTTTCTTATACGATTCAGTTCCAGTGAATTAAAATGAATATGGAACAAAGAAAGATCACTATATTTCTATTATGACAAATGAATCTTCCACTTCCGTCTACAAATTTGGTTTTAGAAATGACGACAAAGAATGTGGGGACGATCCGGATGTTGCTCCAGAACCGTTAAGATCTCAGCAGTTCAGGGAAAAGTGGGAGTGTCTGTCACGCAGTGCGACGGAGCACTTGCTGAAAGCACTGAATCCACGAGCCGTGTTTGACGGGCACACTCATTACGGATGCAAGACTTGGTTATTTTTCGTACATTGTTGAATTGTAAAACTAAGCTATCTAGATGTATCAATAGTTCTCACGTTTCCAGTAGCTGGCTCCAAAATTTCAACTGCAACTATTTAGGAAAATTAGTCATAGTTTTCTACTGCGAAGTTACCTCAATTCGCTGATTAGTAGACTCATTTGGGGTTGTTTCATATTTCGATTCTTTTTTTAGATCTAAAAAATCATTTTTCTATTCTTAATTTTTTAGGTGGCCAGAACCTTACAAAATGTGGGAGTGGACAGTAGCATCATTTTCATGGAGGAATACACCTCAACCGGCTTTTTTGCTACTAACATTATCAGAAAATGAATTACTAGTAAATAAATGTTTACTTCCCAACGAATTAACGATTATCTGTATATATGTAGTTGTTGCTTCCTTGTGTTTTTGTTACATGGTTTACATTGTAGCCAAATGTTGCAAGTCGCCAAAACAGAAGTACCCTAAGTATGAACTGTTGTCTGGGAAATTTGATTAAACTTGCTAATAGTTCTGCTCTCAACTGCCCCCAACTCTGTATTCTAATTTCCAGAGACAACAAAAATAAGATCATGCTAATTATTGTAACTCTGAGTCCTGTAGACTTGTCGCGGTGTTCCAACACCTCAACAGTATTATTTCGAGAGGCTGCAAGCCTGTTGTTTATCAAAAAATTGGTTTGTTAACACAGCTGACCACAGCAATACTGAAGCAACAGTGAAATCGCGCTTCATGTACCGTATTAATTTATGCATTTTCAACAATGCTATACTTACATTTCAAACAAGTGTAATAAACAGTTTGGCCTTCATCGACTGAACGCGTTTGACGGCAAGTGTAACTCATCTTATCATGGCCACATTTATCACATATTTTTTCTACAACCGGGTCTTCGGCTTTACTTTGTTCTTCAAGATCGTTATGTATAGTGTCATTGTAAACTTTCTCGGTCCTGTATATCAGCTTATTTTTTGCTGCTGAAACAAAGAAAGTTTAAGATGTCCTTGCCACTGACTCGTTTCACTAGAACAGCTTGAAAACCGCTCAAGTTAAACACAGATGATCGGTTTATTCACTAACCTTTAATTGTGTGTTTCGCATGGCAGACCACACAAACAAGCACTGACGGTGCGGACGTTGGAAACGGCAGAATAGCCCCACAAGAACAAAATTCGTAGTCCATTCACTTCAACATCTGCTTTGTTGACTGAAAAACTTTGAGTTACTTCTGCCAGCTTCCCAAGCGACTTTCGGAATAAATGTGATAATTTAAAAACTTTAGAGTTGATGATATACGTCTAAATTACCAAAATGGAAAAAAATTTCTATAAAAAAAGCTCAAACGATAACATGCATTAGCTCAATACAATAACTTCCAAAACTCCCTTCTCGCACCCCTCCTCCTTTGCACTACTCACGAGAACACACCCGCTCTAAATAAAGGCCCCCTCTTCCGCCAACACACAAGACAGCTGAGAGCATGGTGCAGCACTCGGTGAAACCCTATCCAACTTACATCCTCCTCGCACCCAAACGCCCAAATCACGGTGAAAATACTCGCTCGCCCCCACCCCTCCTACCAAAAACGAAAAACCCAAATAGGCCCAACATCTCAATTTTGCTAGAAACGTAGGCAACAAAAGAATAATGGGAAGCATTTTGAAGTAATCAAAGAAGCCTGTCATCACATGACTACATGCAAAATCAAATTAATTACAACAGCGAGCAAAAAACCAGCTTTATTTAAAGCAACTGTCACCAACCTGCACGTTGCTTTCAAACTTCTATGTACATGCCAAAAAAACTCACTAAGCTACAACGAAACTAACCACCAATACACAAACAACAATGTGACCCACCACATGGTCAAGCGAAAACCGTTTGAAGAAAATATTTTGATCCGTGAAGGTAAAAAACACAACGAGTTGTACTGTTCTCAATATTAAGATAATAACGCTGCCACAATATAACAGACATTGCACCAATATGTAAAACAATTAAGAGGCACAGGAGGCATTTTACTACAAATTAGCCTACTACCAGAATTACAGATATTGACCGTTCTGATAAACATTAAACTTATTTCACGAAATAAATTAATACAAGCTCAGATCCCTAGAAAACTAAAATCGATACTACACGACGACAGAATCCGTCAAAAAACAAATCATTCATAACGTTGCTAATATCTTGGTGAAACTAATAATGATCAAAGAAAGAGTCTGGATACACCCAAGAAACATACACTGTACGCTTGTAATGGCTTTATTAGCTGCTGCCAATGGTAATGCGATTGAGGCGCTCGTAACTGCCCCAAATGTGGCGGGACCGATAAAAGCCATAGCTGGAAACAGTCAAGTGAGTTTAAAAAGGACTTTCAGAGATACTGCTGGTATAACTAGAAGTTAAACACTTAAAAGACAAAATACAAAACCAAGCTCTTAACAAGAAAAAAACCGAAGCAGTCCCCGGAAATATTAAAATTAAGCCTAGACCAGATCTTTCAGTAATATAATTAGCTCCATTTTCAACGTGTTTGTCAAACTACATTTCCATTTGAAAAATTGTTAAGACCATTCAAGTCACCTAATGACGCTTACCTCCTAAATACATCTTGAAGAGAAGTAATTCTAGAACTTCTACCAGAAAAATAAAAATGTTTCCAAAACTAACCTAAAAGCGGTATGGAGAACAGTGGGAACCACGGATGCTTCCTCAAGGCCAAACAAGACACTGCTACAGCAGTCAAGTAGACAATTACGTAGGAAACACTCATCCACAACAGAATTCCTAACCAGATATCTAAGAACGAAACGTAGAACTCCGCGTTAAGCGTCAAAACAGAAAAAATTGAATGCTGGCTGCAATAAAGATACAAAAGTGAAAAAGTAAATAATAAAAATGTTATATTAATTCAGCAAAATAAAATACCTTGACTGACTAATTAAA